TTGAACTATTTAAACTTTATCTTTTTAAACTGTTAAAATTTTTCAATTATTTAAACTATTCTTCTCATTTAAAGTATTTAAATTTTTTAATTTTTTAAACTATTAAAATTTTAAAAGTATTAAAGCACTAAAATTTTTTTATTGTTTAAATTATGAAAATTTTTAAATTTCATAAATTACTTAAACTACTTTAATTATTTAAACTATTTAAACGTCGTTAATCGTTCAAACCAATAAAATTTTATAATTATTTAAATTTCTTAAACTATGTATAAATTATTTTTATTATTTCAATTTGTTTACGCCCAGAGAAAAATTTTATTCATGACAAATAAAATTTTAGTTGAATTAAAAAATATTTATTTAAAGCAAATAAAATTTTAATTAGTTGTGAGTGAAATGTATTTTTCTGGGTTTTTTTTCCTTCTTTTCTTCTTCTTCTGGGTGTTAAATATTAAAATTTTCAAATTGTTTAAAGTACAAAAATTATTTACATTGAAATAATTATTAAAATTTTTAAGTTTTATAAATTACTTGAAACTACTTTATAATTATTTAGACTTTTTAAATTTATTGATTTTTTTTAACTATTTAAACCGTGTCAATTTTTAAACTATTTAAAACTACTAAAATTTTTAAATTATTTAGTGTTAAAATTATCAAAATTGTTTAAACTATTAATAATTTTAAATTTAATTACTTAAACTATTTAAACTTTTTTATTTATTTAATAAATAAATAATAAAATAATAAATAATAACATCTTCTAATTATTCAAATTATTTAAATAAATCAGTAATTTCGCTTTAATTGAAATGGAATTTAAGGTTAATGTTATATATTTATGTGTAAACAGAAAGTCAGTAAACTGTTTACATTTGGTTCAGTTCCATAAACCATTCAAGAATTTCTTTAACAAAAAAAAAAGATGCACGAACATTTCGCATGTCGAGAATCACTAATGAAAGTAAAAAAAAAACGAGCGGTTAATTTATGGTAAATTGATTGTTGCCTACCAGTAAATTTACTTCTTTTTTTTTCTCTCTCTCTCTCTCTCACTCTCGATGAGTAATCTTATACAATTCGATATTTATTATTATTGCACCTTCGAGTTACTAAAGACTGTCACTATTCACTTTTATCTTTGACAAATTATCATCTCATAATGTCGAGAGATTTTAAACAGAAAAACTAATTCTGTAATTTATTTTTACTTTATTATCTCCTCCATTGCAATTTTATTTCAATATCCATGTTTATAATAATTAGAAATGAAAATATTGTGTCACTTCTTTTGTCGAATAAAATTTTTTATTAACAATTAGAAAAATAAAAATATGCTTAACTGCAAGTTGTTTTTTTTTTTGCGGTGAAAATTTTACTACTTATTAGAGAGAAAAAGAAACATTTATGAAAGACAATTTCGTAATATTCTTGTAAATGCGATTTTTGTCTAATATAATTCGTTCGGCTTTTTTTTTATTCTTATCTATAAAAATATTAGCTTCTTGGTATAATTTTTTGTAATAATAAAAAAAAGTGAAATGGGGTGTAAAATGGTATTACGTGTCATCAGAAATTCGAGAGACCCACATGTTTTTAAGAAAGTCTACAGTTTACATGCAGGCACGATCTTTATTTACCTTTAATTTTCATTTACAATGCAAATTACATAATTTCACTTATTTACAAACTTTAAAATTTATTATGTGATGGAAAATTAAATATAAATTTATATAGAATTAAATTAATAATTGACTTAGATAATAAATATTATATGAATAGGATTAATAATAATTAAAATTAATAATAATAATATGTAATAATAATTAATAATAGTAACAAGTAAAATTAATGAAAAATGAAAAGATAAAAAAATAAAAAATAAATAAAAAAGTAATTTTAAAGGGGGAAACTGGGACAAATCATTTTGCCGGAATAAAAAAAATTGGATCCTTTTTTTCTCTTTATAATTATCTATAATAAATATAATTTACAATTTTACCACACTATTATGTATAACTGTGGTTAAAAAATTTGCATAATTACAAAATAAATTATAGACAGAGATGTTCATTTAAAAATACAAAAAAAAATATTGTCAAAATGCTTTAGTTTACACTTAAAAAAAAATTAACAAAAAACAATATTGAATCGACATATTTATTTGGAAAAAATACTAATTACTCTTTTGTAATAAAAACTCATGGTAAAATAATTAATACGCCTCACCCACCAATTCTTAATAAATAAATTAACTAAACTTCATACAATAAAATTAATTAAAATGAAAATAAAAGTTAACATTGAATTTGATATAAAAAATTTATTTAATTAATTAATAAAATGAATGAATGAATGAATGAATAAATTTAATTAATTAAAAATATATAAACATAAATTACTAAGATTGTCAATTTTGTAAATGAAATAGTAAATCGATTTTTTTAATGCTTTAATAATAGTAATAGTACTCTTTCTGAAAGAAAAATGTAAGAAAAAGAATTAATTGTAAAAAACAAATAAAAAAAAAATTCAAGTTATATCTTGCAACTGATAATTATTCACTTTGACTGATAATTAATGTTTCAAATTTCTACTAATTACATATAATATTATCATTTAATGTTGACTTATTGAAACATTTAAAGAAGTTGATTTCAAATTACTTTTTTTGTCACACTTTTTCTTGCATTTTTTTGGTTATTTTTATATTCGTCTATTTAGTTGTTATTAAAAAAAACAAGTTTTTTTATCTTTATCAACTTTTTTATATTAATAAAAAGCTAATAATAATAATAATAATTAGAAAAAAGGCTCTCGATAGAAAAAGAACTAAGAATATGAAAAAAGGCGAAGAATTAAAAAATGACTATAATGAAAAAAAAGTCTGATAATAATATTAAAAATAATAATAATAATTATTAAATAAATAATTTAACAATTTATTGACAAAAAAAAGTAAATAAATCAACAAAGAGAAATTAATATTAACTTTTATTATAACTTTTCTATTATTTATTTTTTTATTATTAGTATACCTACATATAAGTATAATATTATTCTTTGCTTTTTTTATTTCTATTATTAAAAAAATTAACAAAGTTTTTTCTCTCTCAATTTACAACAAAAAAAAATTTGTTCTAAAAATCACATCGTATAATATGATCAACGATTGAGATAAAAAAAATATTTTTCATAATAGAAATCAAAAAAATTTTTACTTTAACAATGTTTGTTTCTAAATTGTCAATCAAGAAAGTATGTAAATTATTTTAAAACAAAATTTTTTTGAAAATTTTATCATCAAAATCATTTTTTTTCTATAAAATCGCAAAATTTGTTAATGAAATAGTAAAGTAATTTTTTTTGTACTATTTTATAACAATTGTGACAGTTTCCTTTTCTCAATGAAAAAAAATTAAATTAAAATAAACATTGTAAACTTTATTAACACTTTGGGAAAATAAAATGAAAAGTAGTTAAAATAATTACTTTGTCAAACTGAAAAAAAAAATTTATTTGATTCAGATAATCGATTATTTGCCTATTATCAAAAAAACATTTACTAGAACCAAATAATTTTTATTCAAATCAATTAAATGGTATTTCAAGCAATAAGGTCAGTATTTGAAGCAAATATGAATTGAACGATTTAAATGAATTAATAACAATAAAATTATTTTATCAATTTTTTTATTTTTAAAAAAAAATCTTTTCAAAAAGTTATTTTTTTAATTTTTTTAAATAACTTTTTTCTTTATTGAAATTTTAATTCATTAATTAATTAATTAATAACCATAAAAAAATATTTAATTGATGATAGTCAAGTAATCGATTAAAAAAACCATAAAAACCATAAAAAAATATTTAATTGATGATAGTCAAGTAATCGATTAATTGATTGTAGTATTTTTTTTAATTTTAGTTTTTTTTTATAAATTAATTGTAGTTAATCTAACTACACTGTTTGTATAGTTAATTTTAATTTTTTACTACATATTTAAATAGTAGAAAATTTTGAATATGATTTCAAGAAATATAAAGTTTGAATATTTTTTGTTAAATATAAAAATAGTGAATTATTTTTTAAAGATAAAATGTATACTTTATATACATTAATCAATACGTTATCATGTCAGGTATATAATTTTGACAAGAATCAATTAAAATTTCAATAAAGAAAAAAGTTATTTCAAAAAATACAAAAATCAATTTTTTCAAAAATTAAATTGATAAAAAATTTTTTTAGATGGTTTTGAAAATCTTTGTGATTTTAGATATTGGTGACTGTAATACAACTATAAAATTTTAGCAAAAAATTTACTACATTAATTAGTAGTTTTCTACTAGAAACTGGTATGTTTACTATTAAAAATTAGTCAAAACTGTTACTAATCCAGAGTCAGGAAACGTATCCGCACTATTTCATTAGGAAAAAACTACTATTTCAGATTTAGAGTACAGAAAAAATTCTAAAATCAATTTTAATATAAAGTAACTTATACTACTTTTATAGTAAAACAGAAATGTTTTAACAACAGAAATGGACAAATGGTTAAGCATTTCTGGTAACTTTTACTACTTTCGGAGTAAATTTTGCTACGTTCGAAATAAATTTTACTACGTTGAAAGAACATATTTGTAAAAATTATTAAAATTACTTCTAACGTATCAAAATTTACTCCGAAAGTAGTAAAAGTTACCAGAAATGTTTTACTATAAAAGTAGTAAAAGTTACTTTACATTTTTCACAGTAAAATTAATGCCAATAATTTGAATCAATTTTTGATTTGATCCACATTTTTGGTATCAACTCTCGTTGCAATTTGATACTCTCAAGTTAACAGTGCAGCTAAAAATTAACTTTCCACTCAATTATACACAATTGATTTTTTCGGCTATGGATTTTTTCCATGTAGTGTACAAGAAGTTTTTTCATTTCCGAAGTTTTGAGAAGCACTTAGTATAGTACTAAAAAAAAAATAATGAATCCTTACGTTCTGCGTGAATAATGGGCAATAGCAGGGTAACAATTGTTGCAGCCAATGTTGGCCATCTCCTGGTAAATTTCATATTTCCGATTGTCAAAAAAAAATAATAACAAAACAAACCCCGAAACTATAATTTCAAAAAAAAAAAAAAATCTTATCACAAAAAAACTTTTTTCCGTGAACCACGTGTGATGATGACACGAAAACAAAAAGTACAAAAAAGAGGGATTGATGTATAAAAATAAAAAAAAAACACGAGGCGTTGACAATTGCCCGCCGCGCGTTACTCGACTACGAATTTGTCTAACGTGCTTCAAACATAGTGGATCTTGCTTATATAGTTGACCGTCTTTTGGAGAAAGTCCCCGTCGAGTGCAGAGGATGCCACTGGATACAGTAGGGATCCTGGTGAACGTGGACATTAGTGGTGGCAAAGGGGAGGGTGGGGGTGGACTGGGGGATACAAAATACTTTATAATATTACATTCAAGTCCAGATGAAGATGCGCTGCTGATGTTGACCCTGGACATTGTCGTTGTAATGTTATTGTTCCTTTTTATTATATTCCTTCATAAGGAGCGTCACGAACTTGCAATTTTTTTTTCTTTTTCATTTTCAATTTTTTTTTTTATTTTTTTTTAAATTTGTTTTGACGATAAAAAGACGTGTGTATTGCTCATCAACCCTGAAGATGTTTTCAGATGAATATGCTTCGTGATTTGCCGTAGGCGATGCCTTTAGCGATATTTTTTGATCTTAGATCCTGTCGTTTTGAATAGCACATCATTTTTTTCTTCTTTTCGCTTTACAAGCTTTTTTGTTCGAGGAAACACTCTTTGAGAGAAAATAAATTTTGTTTAGTTCAAAAGTGTTTTTTTGAGGGAGGGGGGGGGGTAAAATATTTGTATACAAACAGGTTTTTTTTACAACTTTTCGTTTAGATTAGAAAAATATGTGGAGTAAATTTTCACCATTTGCAGAGTAAATTTAATAATATTCATTTAATAATATAATTATAAAATAATAATAATCAAATTCTTATAATTCATTAATAATAATAATTTAATATTAAAACAAAATAAAATTAAATGACATTACATTTTTCCTGAAATTACTTAATTAAATGCGCTTTTCTATTAGAGTAAGGAATAATTTTGTTTTCTTTGTAGAACTATTTGCCATGAAAGATTCATTTGTTAATTTATTATGCAAGTAGTAATATTACGCTTCTAATTTAATTAATATAATATTGACGTTTTTACTTTTTTAATTAGTATAATTATTACTCTCTGGATATTTACATTCGTTAAAATCATTAAATTGGAGAAAAAGGAAACATTACGCGTCACCTTTGTTTTTTAATACAAAAAATATAAAAATCCTCCAATCTTTCCCAATACAATCATTATACTATCAGATTACAAATTTTAATTTTCGACTCTAATTTAATTATTTTAATCTACAATATAAAATTTAAATTATCCATCCCAATTATTAAATTAACCTTCACCTATTTTTTTCTATTCATTTTTACTTTTTCTATACACTCTCACTAATTAAAATTCAATTCGAATGTTTCAAAAATTAAAAAAAAAAAAATGACAAAATTAGTTTTGCATTAAATAGCAAATTTAATTATTAAAAATAATGAATTTATAGAAGAAAAAAAAACTAAAAACACTAAAAAAAATTGAATTTTGGAGAAGGTACAAATTATTGCAGAAATTCAATTATTTTCAAAAGCAATAAAATTCTTCGCAAAAATTCAATTATGTTCAAAAACTCTTGAAAATTCTCATCAAAATTTCAATTATCTTTATAGATAATAAAATTCTTCTCCGAAATTCAATTATTTTCAAAAATTTTAATAAAATTCTTGGCAAAATTTCAATTATTTTCAAAAATTTTCCTCAATTCAATGACTGTCAAAAATTACTATTTTAATTAAAATTTTCCAAAAGAATTCAATTATTTAAATGCATTTTAATAAAATTCTACGCAAACATTTAATTATTTTCATAAATAATGCAAATTTCACAGGAATTCAATTATTTACAAATTTTTTAAAAATTTCATCGCAATAATTTAATTATTTTCATAAATAATAAAATTCTTTGGAAATATTTAATTATTTTTATAAATAATAAAATTTTCACATGAATTCAATTATTTAAAACACAATTTTCATAAAAATTTCCGAAAAAAGTTAATTATTTAAACAAATTTTCATAAAATTTATCGCAAGAATTGAATTATTTTCATAAAACTCATCTCAGAATTTCAATTATTTTTAATAAAATTTTAAATTGTATTTAAACTTTTTCTATTATTTAAAAAAAAAATTTGAAAGTTCTTAGTAGGAATTCATTAATTTTTCAAAATTTTAATAAAATCTTCTTAGGAATTCAATTATTTTGAAAAATTTTAATAAAATTCGTTGCAAGTATTCAAATTATTTCCATAAAGAATAAAACTCATATCAGGACTTTAATTATTTTTAATACAATTTTAAATAGTATTAAAAACATTTTTTAATCATTTAAAAAAAATTTAATAAAGTTCTTCGTAGGAATTCAATGATTTTTCAAAATTTTAATAAAATTCCTTGCTATTTATTTTTATAAAGTAGGTATTAAGAACATTTTTTTGAGTAGCTAATAATTTTTAGAGTGAATCAGAATATTTTTTAGAATCAGGGAAAAAATCAAAACTTTTTCTAGAAATCAGGGAAAAGTCAGGAAAAAATAAATTTTTTGTTCCAACCCTATAAATTATAAAATACTTTCATTATCATTATGATAAAATAATTATTTTTTATTAATTATTTTTTTATTTATTATAAGTAAATAATTGTTGATTAGAAGTAAATAATTATTAATTATAATAAAAAAATGATTTGTTATAATAAAATGATTATTTGTCATAATAATATTTGTTTATTACGAATAAATTCTTCATCATATAATTATTAAAATAAAATTCAAAGAAAAAGAAATGACGAATGTTTAAAGTAATTCGATAATTATCGAAACAGGATGCCACTCTAAAATGTCCTTCATTGATTTACTCATCCTTAATCTAAATTATGTAACTAGTGTAGAATGTTTTGTTCCGTAAGAAAAATTGAAATTCGTTCAAAGCGCGCGCGCTCGGCACATATGTATAAAGAAATGAGCATAAGATTAACATATAAATTATTCAATTAAACGTTAGGATAATTGAAGCGTAATATAATACACAATATAGGCTCGTCGTCTCGTGCAGGAGTGTCAAATTAGTGATGGTCTCAGGTAAAACGTCATCTTATGCACTGAGAGGTCCTGACCCGTTACGTTATATATGCTGCGAGAACTCGAATGACGAGAACGTGATTTCTAGGTCGAGGACACTATTCTGCCTACGTTTATATATACGAAACAATAACGTATACGCGAAAATGACGGGGTACTCATAAACCGATAAGGCATAGTTGAATGAATAAAAATATCATTTTTTTCCAATTTGTTGCATTCTCTTCGCGAGATAAAGGAAATTGCTGAGTAACCGCATTATTCGGCTTCTTGATTCCTCTAGAATGCTGAGCGTGATTATCATCTTTTTTTTCAACAAAGAGGCCTCTTGTTAAAAAATAAAACCTCTCTTCCTCTTACTTTCATTTTCACTCCTCCCTTTGCTACACAATACTTACTTTCAGGAATTTATAATTGTCCCTCTGTATTTTCATTTCGTAAGTTTCCAGCATCTTTTTTTCATTTTTCATTATACTCTTTCTTATTCCATATTTTGAAATGCAATTTTTCAATTCGATAAAATCGCAGAGATTTTTCTATTATTTTTTACTTAAACATTACCTGGTGGCTTTATGAAATTGGTGAAAAGAAAAAAAATACAAAAAAAGTATATTATATACTAAATATAGGTCGTGTTTAGTTAATTTAAAATGATTTGGAAACAAAAATTCAATTTAAAAACAACAAGCATTGTATAGTGTAATTCGTTGTAAATTAAAAAGAATTTTCCTATGGGAATAAAGTTATCTTCTCATAAACGATTGCTCAAATACGGTTGCTAAATCAGTAATTTATTATTGACTGCAGTAATAGGATGAGATCTTGTATGACAAGTCTGCTGCAACAGAAACATTTTTAGCCCTCTATTATATTCAAAAACATTTTATAATTTAATTAAAAAAAAAAAAATTTCTACATTTGAAATTATTACAATTTTATTCCTATAACATGCCATCTGATTACAGAGGAAAAAAAACAAAACACCTTAAAAATTAGGTAACAAATATACACAGATATAAATATTCATAAATTGAACGCACATTTATATTCTTTAGATAAATCATTTTTAATTTCAAATTTACAAACTTTTATTTCCACATCTAAGTTTATTATTTTAGTAGCGAATATTTAATTTTGACAATGAGATTATTTCAACTCTTTTTTCATATTATAATCTTCTTAGATATTTAAATTATATTAACTAAAAGAAGAATTGCAAAACAATCAGATAAAAGATTTAGAATAAATAGAATATAGAATTTAAAAAAGAAATTTCGAAGTTTTAGAATTTATTAAAAAAAAACATTGCAGAATAAAGCAAACGGTAAAAAAATGCATCTTTTTAAAAAAGTTACAAAAGAGTATGCGAGAGTATGACAATCTTCCTATAATAGTGTAACAATTTTTTCATTTTCTTTATTTTAGATAGAACATTTTCAAACTGGACAAAGTGTACTAAAAAACCCTAGTAAATTTGACTACATTTTAACTGCTCCTCCTAGTTCACTAGGTTAATAAATAAATTAAAAATTTGTACTGACAATCAAAAAGTATTTAAAAGAAGAAAGAATGTAATTGGAGCAACAAAATTTTGCAGCTGCTTTCGTAATTTAACTACTTTAATTAGTTTACTTTTCTAAACATTTAAATTACATTTTCACCTAATAAGATTTAGGCGAAAATGTAATTTAAATGTTAAGAAAAGTAGCACACTAAACATTTATTAAAGAGAGACATTTAAATCTTTACACAATTTTCACTAAACTTTGATAGTAAATACTCCGGATTGCAAATAAATCTTTAATAAATTTTTAGGAAAGTTTCGATGCTGTATGAGTATTTATCTAAGAAACAGTAAAATTAAATATAAAAACAGTGTTAGATTAGGTAAAAAATACTTAAATTATTTTTCAATTTACTACCCAAGAGTAGTTGAATTTTTAGAACAAATTATTTTAACTTTGATAAATCAATATTAACACAAATTGATGGACATTTCTTTCGGGCAAAAATATCTCGAGACAAAAAACAACAATTGACAAACAA